AGCAGGAAGGCAGGCACCATGGAGCTCGGTCCTTGCTAGAGGGAGTCCTTGCCAGGGAGAGAGAGTTTGAACCTGCTGTTCTCGCCTGTATATCAGGGATTCAAGCAGGTGTAGTTTTCCACTGTGCTTTGATCTTTCCCACAGCAGGGCAGGAATCTCAAGCACATTCAATAAGGTGCCTTTGAGTCCATCACAAGCATATGTTATTTAAGTGCAGATGTTCTACTTGTCGAGCACACAAGACTAAACAATGATTAGTGCAATATATGTCTTTTCCAATACCCCAGGTGCAAGTCACTTGAGCATATTTACAGTCCTCCTCGCTGATCTTCCGTTACTTTCCCACACCAAGGCTGGGCTTCCTTCCTCTCACTGGCTCAGAGCCGCTCGTTGTGGGACCAGTGCAAGAACACAGAAAGCGATGAAAAATAGCAGCCCTGGGGCAGCACAGGCTGAGATAGCAGAGCAACCATCCCCAAAATTCCCAGAGCAGTACTGGTACCAGCTCTGCGATATCTCAGCCTCTGCCACACTCTTTGCACGTGGAAGGGCTATATGGGCAGTGCCTAGCAGCAGGAGCGCACATTTGGCTGCATTTGATGAAGAGCCTGCTGTGCTTGCCTGGCTCCCTGCCTGCTCTCCCTCAGCTATCTCCCCTCCTGACATTTAGCCAAGCAAGCCAGACTGCTGCAGAGCATGGTGCTGACCCCATCATCCCAGCCAAACACCAGCTCTGGTGGCCGCTCCCTGTGTTGCCAGCAACACCACTGTGTTTTATTTTGGATGACTCATACAGATATTAATTAGTGCTGGGCCAGGGACTCCAAGTGACATCAGTAGCATTATGCATCCTGGCCTTGAACTGCAAAAAATGAAACGAAAGCAAGAACAGTGTCCTAAACCTTCCTGCCACCACACTGCTCCTGGGGAAAAAAGTTGTGATTCCCTGGGAATGCTCACAGGCTGCCCTCCCTGGGCAGAGCAGAGTTGCGACTTGATCCTGTTACAACCATGCTGTCACCTGTCCTGAGACACAGCCTGTGAGCAAGCCATTCTCTGGCTGTCTCTCCTCCACAGGCAGAGACACAGCACTCAATTTTACATCTCATCCATCTGCACAAGTGCCCTTTGCTTCCTGGGCAGGTTGCAAGTGCAGTGCTGCTTGCACCCATCGCCTCTCTGGGCTCCTGTGCCCCCAAACCTTGTGCTGGGCTCAGCAGTCTGAGCTCAGGGTCTGCTAGTGCCTCCTGTAGATCCAATGATCCTAAACGAACCCAGGGCACAGCCTTGATTTAGCAACCACCCAGCAGACAGAGCCCTCCCCGCAGCTCTCAGCTGAAGGGACTGGGCTGTTTCACCACCTTGGCTCTGCATCGTTTCCTGCAATTGTGCAGTTCCCTGTTATGAAAGCAGTGGTGGGGGCAGACACTGGCTCTTTGTGCTTCCTACAAGGGAAGCTACTCGCTTCTGCTGCACCAGCAGCTTCAATGTGCACAGGTTGCACATGGGCACTGGGTGCTCACAACATCCATTTATCTCCAAAAGTGTTTCAAGGGTGTCGGCGCACACTTGAAGGGGGATGAGAGCAGAGCACTGCCCAGCAAACTTGCACTGTGCCTCAACAAGCTCCTTTGCACAGCCGCAGCCATGGGAAGGGAAGGCAGCACCCACTCCCCTTCCCATGGCTGCAAGGGTGGTCACCCCCTAGCCTCCACTGGGTTCCTCCCACAACACTCCCAGCCCCTGGCAGTCTTCACCGGCCAGCCCAGCCCTGCACCAAAACAACCATAGAGGGCTCAGTAGCACAGAGGGCACGTTTTATTTACACATCATTAATATTTATTTACAAGTCATTAATAAGGAAACGTCCTCACCAGTGCAGATCTGAAGTAGGACAAGGAGAGATGCTCAACAAGTACCACTAAGCTGCACTCCAGGAAAGACACCACTTGCCAGCTCAAAGTGTTTCTGCACAGACCTGGGGTGCAACCAGAGCTGGCCAACTGCTTCACTGGCTAGCGCAGCAAAGCTTGGGCACACAAGGACACAGCTTTGAAAACAGCTTGCAGCCAGGAAAGCCTTCAGAAGAGCAAACAGCTCTGCTGTTCTCTGTTCCATGCCCCCTCCAGTTCAAGGCATGCCTTCTCTCCCTGAGGCATGGACCAGAAGCCCCACTCCCAGGGCTGTGGGAGATGAAAGGCTCAGCCCCTACGAAGGGAAACAGCAAGTGTGGCTTGGGAGGGACTCCACAGCCATGGCTCAACACCTAACAGGAACAGGAGAAACACAGGGTCTGTCGCAATGGCAGGACTGCTCCCTGCCAGGGCACTGAAGGGTCAGCTTGCCATCTCGCACCCAAAAATCAGGCAACACTGCAGGATTAAAGGGAAGGGGAAAGGGACAAATGCTTACGTCCACCAGACACGGTAAGAAATGCAGGACTCAGCCTGTTCACCTCCACTTGGGCAGGGAAGAAGCAGGGCAGCAACATTCATCACCACCTGTCTCCAATCAGACCTCAGGCCCGACTGTCTTCACCCTCCGTATGCCACAGCCTGTCCCTGCAAGCCACAGGACACACCACAGGCTGCAGCACAAGTCCAGGAAAGACACCACTTGCCAGCTCAAAGTGTTTCTGCACAGACCTGGGGTGCAACCAGAGCTGGCCAACTGCTTCACTGGCTAGCGCAGCAAAGCTTGGGCACACAAGGACACAGCTTTGAAAACAGCTTGCAGCCAGGAAAGCCTTCAGAAGAGCAAACAGCTCTGCTGTTCTCTGTTCCATGCCCCCTCCAGTTCAAGGCATGCCTTCTCTCCCTGAGGCATGGACCAGAAGCCCCACTCCCAGGGCTGTGGGAGATGAAAGGCTCAGCCCCTACGAAGGGAAACAGCAAGTGTGGCTTGGGAGGGACTCCACAGCCATGGCTCAACACCTAACAGGAACAGGAGAAACACAGGGTCTGTCGCAATGGCAGGACTGCTCCCTGCCAGGGCACTGAAGGGTCAGCTTGCCATCTCGCACCCAAAAATCAGGCAACACTGCAGGATTAAAGGGAAGGGGAAAGGGACAAATGCTTACGTCCACCAGACACGGTAAGAAATGCAGGACTCAGCCTGTTCACCTCCACTTGGGCAGGGAAGAAGCAGGGCAGCAACATTCATCACCACCTGTCTCCAATCAGACCTCAGGCCCGACTGTCTTCACCCTCCGTATGCCACAGCCTGTCCCTGCAAGCCACAGGACACACCACAGGCTGCAGCCCATGTCAGCAGCCGTAGCAAAGTTCCCACAATTTCCTAGCCCATCTTAAATAGGGTCCTGCTATGGACGTACAGAGCAGAGCGTAAAATCAGGTCATCCCTAAAATGATTCCTCCCTGGTAAATCCTCTGAGCTGTCAGCAATCAGGAGTATTCAAAAGCATCTGCTTTGATAGATTATCTGTTAACACAGATCTGCTTGTCCCTGCCCAGCCAGGTGCTCGGTGTCACCCCAACAGGCAGAAGGAGGTGGCAGTCACATCTCATTGGCATAGTGCTTCTGGATGACAATACTGGCAGTGCATTCCACCCACTCCTGCCTCGGCTTTCCACATTGCCGGCACTGCCATGTGCAAAGGGTCATTCTGGGAGCGCTGCTCCTGAGGCTGGGGAGAGCCTTGTCCAGAGCCTGCTGCTGCCAGAGGGTTGGAGGATAAGTTGTTGTTGAAAGCAGATCTAGGACTGGGCTTCCCATGACTGATTGAGGCTGCCCAACAATGAAGGGTCCTCAGGCTCTGGGCTGAGCCTCTCCAGCGCAGCTTCCTCCTGAACATCAGGTGCTGCCTGCCTAACCTGGTTTGGGAACTCACGTATCTGCTGTGACAGCACTGCAAGAGAGGTAGAGCCAGCCACCTTGAGAACAGGACACACCAGCCTCTCATGGTCCTGCTCTGAGCATGGGCCACCACAGAGCCCACAAGAGGGGAACAAACTGTTCAACTAGGGTTGCCTCCTCCCAGGGAGACAAGAAGAGGATGTGTCCTGGATTGAAGTAAAAAGGAACCAATTTTCTTCAGTAACTTTACTTTTTAGCTAGGCCTCTTCTAACTACTGAAATTAACAACATATTGTGCAGAAACTGTTCCCTCTCAGAGTGATAAGACCTATGTTTATAGTTGATGCCCAGGCATGGTATTCAGAGAGGACCTTGCTTATACTTATTGCTATAACACCCAAGGCCAGCTAACTTTGTTATGTGCCCTGTTGGAGGGTCAGAAGCAGAAAAGCATGGAGGGGTCCCACCTGCGGGGAGAAGCGGACAAGACAGGTGACCCAAAACTGACTAACAGGGTATTCCGTCCCATCTGCCTCATGCTCAGTATAAAAGCTGAGTGATCAAAGGGTCAGCTCTCTCTTGCTTCAGTGGCCAGAGTCCGAGGACTCCTCTGTCTGCTTGTCTGCCTTTGATCCTGATCCCTGCATTCCTGAATCCAAATCCAGAATCCAGTTCCTGTCCATCCCTGAGTCCAGTCTGGGATTTTCCCCATGCCTGCTGGTGATGTGATTGTCATCCTGGGAGTTTGATCCAGTTTTGTATATATTTAATGATTTCCTTTTCATTATTTTATTATTAATATTTCATTAAAATAGTTTAGTTTCTTCTAAACTCATAAGTCTCTCTCCCTCTCTCCCTCCTCTCCTTGAAGAGAGAGGTGGGGGAGAGCATCTGTTGTTCACCTCAGTGGCCACTCTGGCCTAAACCACAACAGGACGCTGCACAGCCACCAGCCACAGGCACAGCTTGTGCTCCAAGAGGACTGGATATGTCCAGTTCTGGTACAGTCCTTGTCCCAGGGTCCTGTCCCCAGGCAGGCCTCTGCAACAGGACTGAGGAAGAGTCCACACCTGGGGTGAGACAGCAAAGCCAAACCAATTGGTCATCCCAGGCAAAGGGCTGCTGGGTTGGAGGCACTCCAGAGTTAAGGCTGTCTCCGAGAAAGGTGCTCTGCCCCAGAGGGCAGCACTTCACCTGTAACCACACCTCAGCCCCTGGGCACTCACCTCTGAGCTCTGGGTGTGGCACTCTGCTCCGAAATGAGCAGATGCTGGAGGAGAGAATGAGGCAGAAGTACAGAACCAGGACCTGGAAACGGAAAGATCAGCAAAGCCCTCAGCAAAGGACATGGACAGGCATCACCAGCCTCAATAAATGCCTCTCTCCCAGACTTATGGGGACAGCAGAGACCCCTTCACAGACACGGGCTGAAGCCACTCACCATGATGTAGATGCTTGCTGTGGCAGTTCTGGTGGTGGACTGTCTCACTAAGACCTGCAGTTTACTTGGTTGCTCAAGCAGTGACCTGCAGGAGAGCAGGCAACGCAGGTTAACGCAACGGCTGAACTAGTTGAACTCCCCTCCTGCCCCTTTGCAGCCAGGAACAGACTACAATCCCAAGAATAGGAACAACATTCCCCACCATATCTCCTGCCATATCCAACAATGAGAACTCACATGTTCTGCTTCTGCAGCAGCTGCACCTTCTTCTGCAGCTCATGGTTCTGAACTGTGCAGGCTGCCACCCTTCCTGGGAAAGATGAACAACACGGGGGGAAAACCAGAGAGATTTTGTTAGTTAACAGCAGGGACTTCACCAGAGTCTCTGCCTTGGAATCAGCCACCACCGGGTGGCTGGGTCAGCTACAAGTGTTCCTGGGGTCTACCTGGCACCAGCTGGAGCAAAGCCCAGAGAATGACATCTCACACCAGGTTTGGGGAGGGGTAAGCCCTGTCCAGTCCCGCAGAGAAGCGCCAGATTAATCCCTAAGGATGCTCGCTCCTAGGAGCACACCAGCCCTGCAGATCAGTGACACCAGGCTGTATTACAAACTAGCCTAACCTGGAGAACACACTGGACCTGACAGGCCAGCACCTGGCTCAAACAGAGCAAGCTCTGGGCCGTCTCCAAGCCTAAGAGAGCAGGGCAGGATATGCCCTGAGCTTTTGAGTCTCTTGAGAAGACCACAGGGGTCAGCCCCACTTTCTGCCCAGGGTAACAAGACCCCAGCAGTGGCACAGCACGGCTGCTGCATGCCCATACCTGTTTTCCAAGCTGTCCATGTAGATCTTCTTCCTGCAACCACTATCCTGGGCTGACTGCTTGTTCCAGATCTTCCAATGCACTTTCTTCAGAAGCCGCTCTTCAGCCTGCAAGGGCCATTTCTCATTAGCAGCCATTAGTGTTGGCAATCCAGCCCTCAAAAATCCTGCATACGTCTCAGCGCTCAGCCCTGCTTAGAAAGGCAGCAACCCACGTGCTTTTGTCCTCTGTCCCTCCCACATCGCTGAATGAACTGCACGAGCTGCAAGGCAAACTCTGGCCTGCTGATGAAGCCAGCAGCTTCCCCAGTGTAGCAGAAGAGTAAGGCACACCTAAGGGAGATGAAAAGCATGCAGCTCACAAGACATGAGGCAAGTGGGAAGAAAAAAAGCACTTGCGGTGTAATTGCCTCCTGCAAGCAGTTGCAAGTGGGGAGACTGACAGCAGCCAGGTCTTGCTGCTTTTTGTATTTACCTGACTAGCAAAGCAGAGGCTGCTGTGCACATGAACACCCCCGGGCCTCAAAGGGAGGAGGAAGACACCAAGTCCTGCCTCATGCTGCCCTGAATGCAGCACCTGGGTGCTAATGCTCTCACCAAGGCATCATCCTGCATTTTTGATCCTTACTCTGGCTGAGGGGTTTGAGTGGTCCAAGTCTGTTTGGGAGTGACAGGCTGTAGCAAGGACTCACTTTGGTCAGTGGCAGACAGGTTGGTAACGAAACACCTTTTTCTTCCAGAAGCTGCCTCTCCTCCTCTGTCAGAACCAGCTCTGGGAAGTCAGACTAGAAAACAGCAAAAATACGCGCGCTGAGAATGCAAAGTAAAGGGAGTCCACTCCAGGGCAGAGAGGGTATGCAGAAAGCCTACAGAACCAGGATCAGCTCTCCCAAAGCAGCATCATGCTTTCCTCTGAGGAGCCAAGCCAGGAGAAAAGGGGAAATGTGAGCAGAAGCAAAGGCTGGGGCCCACACACTTCCTAAGGCATGGCAGTCAGTACCTGCACAGTGGCTCTGGGCACAAGCTGGGGTCTGGCATCCACAGCAACAGTAATAGAGAAACTAGAGCTCTGTTCCAGCACCTCACTTGTGCCTTCCAAACCTGTCCATGTCTCTGGGGAAGAAAAGGAGAGTCAAGCTCCAGGCAGCACTCGACCAGCTTTGATTTGCATGAAACCACAATTTTATGGCAGCAGAAAGCCACCAAACTCAGCTTTCTCCATCACTGCCTGGCACTTTCTCAAAAACCCTTACGTGGGACTGCTTTTCTGCCTGTAGCCAGGACAGAAAGAGCACATACACATCATTTACTAAGGTCAATGGAAACATCTCCTTATGCCATTTCAGACCTCACACTTTCAAGCACAGACCAATCCCAATGGAGGGAACAGTTGTGATCAAACTGCGCAATGTCTGAACTCCGAGGGCTGCCGGCAAAGTCACTGCCAGGGCTATGGGACAGATTCTGATCCTCAGAAATGCTACTGTCGCTGTCAAAAGGTGAATAACCCTGCAGCATGCCTGGTTCATCTTCAAAGGGGCTCAGCAAGGAGCTGATGAAGTTGTTACCGTAAATTGGCAGAAATAAACTTTCTAAGCCTTAATTTAAATTTAGAAAGCAGGCACTTCTTTATTACGGCGCCGGACGCACAGGGGATCACTCCACCTAGTGTGCGCACCAAGTTGCTCCACTACAAAAATTATATACAATCAAAATATACATATTCATCACATTTCTGAGAAATAATTAACATATTCATACAATTTCTGAGAACTCATTAATATATGTAAATGTCCACGATGCATGCGCCTTCAGGTACACTGGTGGTCATCCAGGGTCCTCTGGTGGTCATCCATAGTCTTCCTCATGGTGTCCGCTGGTTGAACCCAATCTTTGTGCATGCCCAGCTTGGTCATAGAGTTTCACCCCCCCCTTTAATCTTGGAACCTCCAAAGATTTTCTCAGTTTACTAACCAGGCCTACAACTTATCACTTTCTTGACAGGTACTTCAAAGCTACATTGTTCAACAGTTAGTTCAGGTCACACTTAGTTACCAAATGCATATTATGGGGTTGATTTTCATTGATTGGTCCCTTGATTATATATTACTATCAATACCCATATCCAAATAATCAATGGTTATTTCTATTAATATGTATTAATTTGGTTCTTGATATTTAAATCAAGATGGGAAGGGTAAGAGGGGGTTTCTAAGCAGCATCACTGGTACATAACAGGTTTCTATAATTACTAGACTCAAACAAAACTTATCTATTCTATTCTTCATTGTTTCATCTGGGTTCTACTTGTTCCTTGATACAAAACAATAATTACCTAGTGAGGGCTCTATGGTTACGAGTTACAGAACACACAGTGCTCTAACATTCTACTTCTACTATAACCAAAATCTGGTGATTTTACAACAGTCATCCATTTCCTTTTTCAGAAGCTGCAGAGAAAAAGCTTTTAATAAGCAGGGAGCCAAACCTCCCCACAACCCAGCAGCAATTCCTCCTGAAGAACTCACCTCAGGCTCTGGCAAGCCCCAGTCTTTCAGCAGACTGTTCTCCCCTGGGATTTCAGGGCAGCATCATCCTTCAGGAAGAAGTCAAGCAGGTCCTCGTCTGCCAGGGCAGCCAGTTCCTCTGGGCACAACATCCGAGCAAGACACCCAAAGTGAGCACAGGCCCTGGGGAGAGACACCAGCACTCCTTTGGGATGTCACTCAGCCCCTACTGACAAAGTCTCTCCATGCAATGGCAACAGCTGCCAGAGCCCTGCAGCAATGACCAAGCCATGAGTACAAGGCTGTTAGTTGCACTGGTGGCCCCACCAGACTACTGGGACCCAGCCACAGGAGCCAGGCTCCACCCAGAATGCAAAAGCTGCAGGAAGGAGAGGGAAAGTGGAAAGGTCACAGACTTTTTGCCATGAAGGATATGCAAGATCCTGCCATTCCACTGAAGTCCGAAGGTGCCATACCCCTGGCATGCAGCCGGCTAGGACAGTCTCCCCATTGGCATCGTTAAGATTTCAGATCTAGCTGACAGGTGTCACAGCCCGCCCCC